GTGGCACTGACTGGGAGTTATGGAATTGAGACAATCAGCCTGTGGCATTGACTGGGAGTTATGGAATTGAGACAATCAGCCTGTGGCATTGACTGGGAGCTTCAGTCCAGGACCTGAGACAAACCCGAGTCCTAGTTCTGGATGGGCTCACCTTGGTGCTGTCCTCCGACTGAGATCAGCGTCCTCATTGGAGGAGAGGGACAGCGCTGAGCCACAGCCCTCCTGAAAGGAGACAAATCAGAGGAGTCAGAACGTCCCTCCAACAGAACCCACCTTCAGGTCTCTGCAGGACCACCTACAGGAACTGGGCCCCCTGTGACAGGCCCATGGCGTTGTACCCCCCCTGCAGCTCCGGGTCCTGGGCCAGCTGACGGCACACCATGGACACCTGCGTGTTCACATCCAGGAAGAACCCGCTCTCCGTGTCCTGCCCCATGAGACACAGAGGACAGAGACGGGTTCTGATTTCTGTCAAAAAAGCACAAAGACAGAACAGGAGGACCGTCTAGACTCTAGACGGACCGAGTGGCACCGAGCGTCTGAATGGACTGAGGATCTGGACGGACCCAGGATCTGGACGGACCGAGCGTATGGACAGACCCAGAATCTGGACAGACCGAGGGTCTGGACGGACCGAGGATCTGGACGGACCGAGCGTCTGGACGGACCGAGGATCTGGACGGACCGAGGATCTGGACGGACCAAGGATCTGGAAGGACTGAGGGTCTGGACGGACCGAGGGTCTGGACGGACCGAGGATCTGGACGGACCGAGGATCTGGACAGACCAAGGGTCTGGAAGGACCGAGGGTCTGGACGGACCGAGGATCTGGACGGACCAAGGGTCTGGACGGACCGAGGGTCTGGACAGACCGAGGGTCTGGACAGACCGAGGATCTGGACGGACTAAGGATCTGGACGGACCGAGTGTCTGGACGGACCGAGGATCTGGAAGGACCGAGGGTCTGGACGGACCGAGGATCTGGGAAGACCGAGGATCTGGACG